GTCTACTTCTTCAAGTTGATGGCTATTAATCCCCAGGGGTGCCTTCTCCTGGCCAGGGATGCAGCTCGAGAATAACTTCTTCCTTCCAGAATTTATGGACATGCCAACCGACATAGCAATATCAAGGGGCTGATTGAATCGAATTACATTTAAGCCTTAAGCAGATGTTCTCATCTGGTAGGCAATTTATACGAGAAAGGAAGATGATTAAATAAAGTTTGTTTGTGCTGGGTGACCAATGCGCGTGTGATCCGGATGGAGGCGAATCTCGGGCTGAGTCCATCATTGTGCCCCATTTTATTCATCGTTATTTGTAAAAAAAGATTGCTACTTATGGTTTGTGAGTACTATTTTAAAAGTGATAATTTTGAAGCGTGCGCCTTTAAATGTATTTGACACACCGGCATGTAAACAACAAGGTTTTCAAAGGCATTGTCTATAACTTTCATTAAAAAGTTAAACTGAACTGAGCATCACTGTACGGAACTTTTATTTTCATTGGTACACAATGTATGCGAGTATGCGTAGTGAGACGCCACTCCATACGAATTCCCAACAAGTCCCTACTTCTTCCCTAAACGGTGACTGGCTGCAACCATTATGACTTCTGAGTATCTGTGGTTAGAGAACTTTAAGCATACTAACTTCGGGTTACAAGGTATAACATACTAAGAGCACAGATTTTATGAACTTGCCACCCGCCTCGATGGTTGATTATCCGATAACTCGCTTCGACTGAATTCCCAAATCTGACCACAACAGCGAAACAATAGGTGTTTGGGCGTATTCTAACTGGGTATCATAGGACCAAGAGGGGCCACAAGAATGTACAAGGTCGGATTTAAATCGGACCAATCAGATAGTGCCCTTCAGCTGTTAGCCTATTGGCTGGACTTCTGACTCATCTGACTGGTTGAGTAAGTCTCCAATAATTTCAGCAGTTTGCGCGGCATCAGCATACGCACGGCATATGGGCGGATCGATAGCGCGGCGTGGGAACGAGTGGTCCGGTTGTCCCCCCCAACACTTTCCTCCTTTGAGTTGCATTTCACAATTTGATATGCGGATTGACTTCCAATGGCGCCGTTTGCATTCACGTTTGGCCCGATCGTCGAAGTGGTTGATAAGATCGTATTGACACTGGTAGAGACTTCCGTTTATAAATTGTCTTTTTTCTGATCTCAGAAATTGGTCGGTAACTTAATGTAAATCAGTGGGAATTACTAATATAGACCTTCGCAATGAGCTTATTAAAATTAATTCCAAAAACCTTACTCCGAAATAGTGGTCAACGACGGAGGAGATTCAGTCAGTATATTTGGAGTAAACGACCGAAGCCCCTAAAAACTCCATTGAAACGGTACAGGAATGCATAAAGTGTAGTGAAATATGCAAAAATTTTTACAGATCGCTTTTGTTGTACAAGAATGCATAAAAATACTTTGGAAACATGAATGGTTGATAAGGTGATGCGATTGCGGAATGGCAGCGTAGAAAAATTTCACTGTATATCCAGTATGAAATATTCGTTTGGACACTTTTAGTGAAAATCAAAACTCTATTAAAATCAAGCGATTAGTACGTTTGTTTGTAGCAATTTATGTTAGGTGAGTGTTGGGCTTTAACAGATGTTTATCCAGATATCTCTTGAACACGTTCACAGTGGGTGAATGCATAATTGACTCTGGCAAGGAGTTCCCCTATCGAATGATCCTTTGAGAGAAGAGAGATAAACGTTGGTTTGTGCGGCTCAGTTCCTTCTTAAACTGGCAGTCCTGTCTTTTGAGTTTCCTTTTTGGGGCCATTTGAAAGAGATCCTCCCACTTGACATCCAGACCAGTGTCCCTTAGTAAGTGAAACGTTGCTATAAGGTCACCTCTGTCTTGTCTATAATGGAAGGGAAAGAGATTTAAAGCAATCAAACGTTGTTCGTATGTGAACTCCTTAAGTTCAGGGACCGCCTTAGAAGAACGTCGTTGGACACCGTTAAGAATCCCTATGTCTTTCTGAAGCCAAGGCCGCCAAGTCTGTATCACATATTCCAGATTAAAAAGCAACTTGCTAGTATTTATTTTTGGACTTTGCGGACTGCAGATCGGTTGCTAAAGCTGGCGGTCACTCTCTCCCTCTCGCTATCCTATAGGTTCTTGTCCTGGAAAAACGCAAGTCGGACGAAGAACGATCGCTGAGAGAGGAAAGTGAGAAGAGTGAACGGGAATTAGGCCAGCTGCTCGAGCAAGTGACCACATGGAACGCCAGAGCCCACTCCATTCTCGCCTGGGACAAAAGGTCTGGATACCGTGGTGAGGGCTCAATTCAGGATCGTATCGCACAGAAGACCTGCTTGTTGGAGGAAACACTGCAACAACTGGACGAGGTAATTAAAATTCACCTTCTGCTCACCGGAGTATATTTGGAGATTTGCCGACGTTTCGGACAGCCGGGCCTGCTGTCCTTTGTCAAAGCGAATACTGACTGTTATCGATCAGCAGTTTAAAGTTGCGGCTGTAAGTGTTGGCCTTGGGTTGATCGACTTTTCTCCGTTCGCTCTCTGACCTTGCGTGTGGATTTTGGTTTGGCGTGACGGCAATTGGCGGTCCGTTCTATCCCCACGGTAGAAGATGCTGGTAATCCTGCTCCCCCTTCCAGTGGTTTCGTCGCAGGGCCGTCTTCGTCTGAAACTCCTGACTTCGGTTTGACCGTGCCCTGTCTTTTATTTACGTAATGGCGCAGGAC